GAGCTCTCTTTGTCTCCTGAATTAGTAATAATGATTGTCTTCCCAAACCTGCTGCTGTTCAGCCAAACCCAACTCCATGCGACCCCAAGTTTTGCATGGGGTTTCCCTAGCTATAATAATTATCAGAGCACATCTTTCAATCTTTCTTCCACAACGTCGCTGGCTGGGTTTGAGGAGCCAACCCCAGCTCAGCAGCAGAGCAAAAACCTCAGTCCTTTTTCCTGCATCCTTCCCTGCAGACTCCAGCACCTGTGCCTCCCTATCAACTGTTTCCTGTTTCCATAATGCCTACTAGAAAACAAAAATGCCCCCAGATTATAAAACTAACTCTTTCATGTGCATGTTTCTTAATATGTCTACCAAAAAAGTAATGTCTTAATGATAATGCTCAGTATTGATAAGATTTGGAAGAAACTGGTAATTTCACATAAAACTGGAAGGAACCTGTGTTGTAGAGCCCTGGGAAAGGTTTATCTGTCAGGAAAAAGAAAAAAATATGAGCTAGAAAACACTTCAGATGTTTCAAAAAGAAGGAAGGCAATGCAGCAAAGTTGGTTACTCAGGTAATGGGAGATCTGAGAAGCCACAACAGAGCTAGAGATTAGAAAAATAAGATGCTCCGAATACCAGACCCAGAACCACAAGGAAAAGAGATGGTGACACCAGACCCCAGAGAGGAGCAATGGCGGGGCTGGAACCACTGCAGGACATGTCATCTCATGCAGAGAAAGAGAGCAGGAAATACCCCCAACGGCTGTCTTCCTCCCACCCTCCACTCCCCCTCCAGATCTTCCTATTGAATTCAACTAGTTGACTCAGGAGCTGGGGAAAAGATATGTGTAACCATGACTATTATCTAGTTCCAGAACATTTTCATCACCCCCAAAAGAAGCCCCATAGCCATTGGCAGAGCCTCCCTATCTCTCCTTCCCCTCATTGCCTGACAATCAGATTTAATCTACTTTCTCTCTGTGTAGGTTTGCCTGCTCTGGACATTACATATAAATTATTGTATACAATATGAAGCCTTTTGTTACTGATTTCTTATATTTAAGAATCATGTTTTATATTTAGCATCACGATTTCAAGGTTCATACATGTATGCTTTTTCACTGGTTCAATAATATCCCACTGTATGGATAGACCACTTTCTGTGTATCCATTCAACACTTGATGGATATTTGGGTTGTTTTCACTTTAGGCTATTAAAATTGTGCTGCTATGAATATTTGCATGCATGGCTTTTTTTACTAAATACTTTTGGTGGGGGCTCCTACATCTCTTATCACAATCCATACAATCATCCATTTTGTCAAGCACATTTGGACATATGCTGCCATCATCATTTTCAAAACATTTTCTTTCTACTTGAGCCCTTTGTATCAGCTCCTCATTTTCCCCTTCCCTCCCCCCACATACATGTTTTTGAGTGAACATATATTTTTAATTCTCTAGGTACATGTCTAGGAGTGGAATGGCTGGGTCATGTGGTAAGTAGATGTGAAGGAAATGGCATATTCAGAGCCTCAATAGATAGACTCTAATATAATGTGAGGAAAATGTGGAACAGCATCTCAAATTCATAAAAACAAAACCACCTCTAAAAAAAGGCGGGGATCAGGACCAATATTGAGAGCAGCAATACCAGGAGGAGAAGGGGAAGGTGGGGGGAGAAAAGGGGAACTGATCACAATGATCTAAATATAACCCCCTCCCAGGGTGGGTGAAGGGAGACATCGGTCCGTGTAAGACATGACAAAATAATAACAATTTATAAATTATCAAAGACTCATGAGGGAGGGAGGGAAAAATAGGAGAAGCTGATACCAAGGGCTCAAGTAGAAAGAAAATGTTTTGAAAATGATGGCAACAAGTGTACAAATGTGCTTGACACAATGGATGGATGGATGGATTGTGATAAGAGTTGTATGAGCCCCAATAAAATGATTTAAAAATTTTTAATTAAAAAAGGGGGGGCAACTTACTGAGCTGGTTGAAAACTGGAAGACTACATATTATCTTAAGATCTCACTCAGAATTCACTGCTATAGAGTTGATGTCAACTCACAGTGACCCTATAAGACAGGGTACAACTGTCGCATGAGTTTCTGAGGCTGTAACTTCTAATGGGAGTAGAAAGCCCTGTCTCTCTCCCGAGGAGTAGCTGGTGTTTTCAAACTGCTGACCTTTTGTATTCCAGCCCAATGTGTAACCACTGGGTTACCAGGGCTGCTCTGAGATACTACTCTTCAAACCTTGAACTGAAACTAACCCCTCAGGCCACCTGGTAGCTAAAGAATAGATTGGCTCGCGAAAGAAGGATTTTCACCTTTAAGTGCTGCACGCTTTTAAAAAACCACCTGCCTGGGTGATCAACAATGACTTTAAAACAAAGATGAGAATGCAAGGGACAGAGAAACTATCTACATGGGAAGAGAACAATCTGGAAGGAAATTGTGGTAGTTACACAATTTCATGTCAACCTGATAGATAGGTGTAGGGGTGGAGTCACAGTCTGATGATGCCTCCTTGTGGGTGTGGCACTCTCATGAGGATTCTGGGAACTTCCTCTTTCTCCCTGGAGGTGGGCCACACTCTCTCTCTACTTCACTGTCCTGTGGTTGAGACACCCAAAGAGCAAGAGGAGCCATGTGGAGACCTGCGCAGGTGCTGTGACAGACTTTTCACCCACCAGCCTGTGATCTTCCTGCATTCAACATCATTGTGAGTGACGACAGTGAGTCTGATGAGGAATTTATGAACTACTATTAGACATATGGGCTAATATTGGACTTGTGGACCTGATCTGGACTGGGCTGGGATGTTTTCCCAATATACAATTGCTCTATGATATAAAGCGCTTTCTTACACACACATATGAGTGTCTCTGGATTTGTTTCTCTAGTCAACCCAGGCTAACACAGCAATAATGAGAATGGTCAAACATTATGAAGAATGTAACTGATGTCACTGAACAATTTGTTTCCAAAATCTAAAGACAAAGCTATCCAGTCAGTGCTGACTTAGTGACTCCAGTGGGTTTCTGAGACTGTAACTATTTACGGGAGTAGAAAGCCTAGTCTTTATCCTGTGGGAGCTGCTGGTTTCGAACTGCTGACCATGCGATTGCAGCCCAATGCATAACCACTACCCCACCAGGGCTCTTTGAACAATTTGTTTTGATGTTGCTAAATGGGAACTGCTATGTAAAATAAACCTGGACTGAAAACCCAATGAGATGTTATTTTAAAAGTGGCAGTGTATTCCAGAGCAGCTGCTTCATTTGACATTCCCACAAGTTTGCTATTTCATCATGAACCACTTTCCAAGGTGTCATGAAAGAAGTGAATTTATTCCCAAAGATTTGTAAGTTATAACGGATGATGGTGTTCATGATTGTATGTCTCCCTGAACACCGTGTCTTCCACACTCATGGGCAAAATGTCACCAGCAGTGGCATTCAGGCAGACAGGAAAGCCAGCAGCATGACAAGACTCCTGCTGACCCCGCTGTTGATGAGATCCAAACCCTCACTGAGGTGGCTGTGCAAGTCTTAGCCACCACATTAGGAAAAAGAGATCAATGCCCGGATTACTCAGAGGCAAGAAAATGTAACATGTGGGACCAGGTCTCCCTTGTGGCTGCTTACCCACTCTCTTTTGAGGAGCTGAGAAAACCCAGCTGAGGAAAGAAAATAGCTCCTAATGAATACAATGAGCCCTGACACTGAGAATCCTGCAGACTCTCCAGTTGAATCAATACAGAAAGTCCTGGGTAATGAACTGAGCTTGCTGGAAAAACTTGATCGCTACCCTGACAAGTGTGGTAACATTTAAGTTTCTCAAAGCGCCCACTCGGACTGAACTAACCTGGCTCCCTAGG